TATATATATACATTTTTTTTTTAAATCAACCTGACATTGAAAAGACAATATACTAAGAATTAGGTGAGTCTATGAATTTTTTCGTAGACTGAGTTTTATATGCTGTCATCGAAAAACAAGTCTCTTTTTACTTCAAAGTGAAAATACACATTCCAAGATGTCTTATGTTTAAAATAGATATAAAAGGCATTAAAATAAATAAATAAAAACTGGGCTTGGAATACAGCTCAGTAGGAGAGGATCCCTGGATTCAACCCCCAGTACTGCATTAAAGAAAAGTATGGGCAAATCATTCTATAAGCTGGTAATTCTCAATTATATCAGCTAAGCAAGGAAAACAAAAACTACCAGATTTTTCGTTAGTACTTGTCACAGTTGATTCATTGTGCAAGCTTGAGAAGTTTAGAAGCTTAACTAAGTAATTCAGCAGGTGGCTAGGGTCCTCACTTTGTAAACACCCTGAGCCTGTGCAAGAGAAAGACAAGAAGATGGGGGGAGCACTACACCTGCCTTAGGGTGGGTAGCCTGCATACAATATGAGGAAAAGAGGCTTACTCCCCTCTTGTTTTTGCTCTTGTTGCTTTTGCTGTTGTCAGGTACTTTGAACTGTTGCCCCTCACCATGCCACCCTGCCTTGGAACCAGCTGATTGCAGACTGAAACCTCCACAAACTGTGAGCTAAATAAACTTTCCTTCCTTAACTTTGGGTGTCAGGTATGTCTTAGCAATGAGAAAAAAGTAACTAAGACAGTACTATAGTTCATACCACAAAAACAGGCACATAATTAACCTCATTAACTGCTACATGTATTATTATAAACTTAGGGATCAAAATCTTTCATTACAGATTTTTTTCTTTATAATTTAGTTTTCATACTTTAATTTGTAGAAATGTAATGAAACCTGACACAATCCTAAAAATATTCACTACTTTAGTCAACTAAATGTAAAGGAATATTCCTATGCATTATTTTAACTAAAGGGAAAATTTAATCATAAAAATTCCCGTAAAATTCACTTCTACTGATATTTTAAATTTAAATTCTAAAATGAACAGATTTCAAGAGTATACTGAACAACATAAAGAAAAAAATTAAAATATTAGGCCATGCTCACAAAACCCAGCTAAAATTCAAGAAAAGACTAAAAATATTTGGGACATATGGATTATCCCACTCCTTGTTGGTGAATTTTTTAAGTGGAAAGAGAAACAGTATGATACTAGTCCATATAACTGATAGCAAAATAAAGGATTTCAGAACAGCTTAAATTTTTGTAGCATCAGTGACTATTTTTCAAGATTATCCATAAAGATATTTCCTATGTAACAGATAAAGATTTTAATGTTGAAATCTAAAAATATCTGCAAATAAGAAAAAATTTTCAATTTTTTTAGATGAACTTCCATGACAGTATATGCAGTAATCTGAATACCAATGAGACAAGTACCATTTAAAAGTAATGCAACACTGGGTAGCCTCTGTACTGGTCGGATGAGAAGTTCAACAAGGCTTTGTCGTCCACATTCTGGTTTAGCTTGGTTTATCTGAAAGGAATTAACTTATTCAATATTTTAAAAGAACTTTTCTGCAAATATTAAATAACCTACCTTTATCATATTACATCTCATCTTCAGTGTCCCTGAAAAGAACTAATGGAGAAAGAATGGAATGGCTATTGCTCTCTGGCAGGTTACTGTGGTTAACAACCTCCCCAAACCTGAAATTAACTCTTGGACAGCTGAGCTGACATCATACACAGAAAAGTGAGCTCCTCTATATACCCCTACATATGCATTCATAAGTTTTTGTTACATCTACATCATTTACAAGAAAAAGAGTTTTAAAATATTAATTATGTTGATAGCACTAGATGAACAAATAAGGAATTGGTGAGAAAAAAATCATTAAAGGTGAAACAAATGTCTCTGGGAAATTATTGTTTTGAAAGCTGTGTATAATTTTTTTTTCCATATAACTATATACACCCAAGCATGGCAGCACACCCCTGTAATCCCAGCACTCAGAAGGCTGAAGCACAAGATTCCAAAGTGGGGGCCAGCCTAGACTACGCACCAAGGGCCTGTTTCACAAATTAAATAAAACAACTATATACAACACTCTCACCTGCTCAATTGCCTCTGGGCCTCCACTACCTAATATGTCAAACCTTCTGAAGCCAAAGCATCATTATTACCCATAGGTACAACTAAAGGTAAAAGATAACACTAAGACATTTTTCTATTGGGATAGTTTTACTAATGTTATAATTTACTTAAGGAATTCCTTCAGAAATGATTCAATTTTTATTTGAAAGAAATGTATATTACCTTAAGAAAAGCATGAAATCTGGGTTTCTGTTTTTCACATTTAATAATTGTTTCCTTGCTCATTTCAAAGAAGTTTACAAAGGGAGGGTATGTTTTTACCAAATCTTTTGACTAGGTATAAAAGAAAAGAGAAAGAATCATTAATTTGTTATGCATGTCACTCTTAGATAATGAACTCAAAAGTCAAAAACAAAAAAAAAAATCATTTGACATATTAACTTCAAAAACTGCTTCTTCACAAGCTAAATACAGAAATTTAAATCATAAACTTCTCAGTAGCAGTGAATTAATTGGTAAAGAAAGTGCATCAACTGGCATATAGCCTAACACTTAAAAGGCAAGTAAAGACCCAGAAAGAAAAGTAAATTAAAGCATGTTTCACTGATACAAACATGAAAAAAAATTTTAAAACTTCTATTAATTCACAATATCTAAATTTGAGTTGGTCAAGCTAGAACCTAAAAGCATGCTATTATTTACTAAAGAGAATAAGCCACCATTAAAAGACCCATTTGTTAACCAAAAAACAGAAAAAGAAAAGCTACTTTGGCTGAGAAGATATAATATCAAAAAGATTTGTGGCAATAATTTATATATTTGGATTCTCAACCAACAGCCCCTGCTCCAAAAAAACATCTAAAAGCCTGTACAGTAAGGAAGGTGAGCAAGAGGCCTCAGAAAACAAAAGTACAGGTAGTGGTACTCAAGGCACTGAAATTTATAATGATATTCCAAGGCATTCAAAAGAAATGCATAGAAAACTACTGTTCACAGTACCCCATTCAAAATGCACATACTTTATAAATTTGAACTATGTGGTTCTTATACTATTAAAGAAGAAACAATTCAACCAGACATGGTGGCACATGCCTGTAATCCCAGCACTTGGGAGGTGAAGGCAGTGAGTTTAAGGCAAGCCTGAACTACACAGCAAAACCCCACCTCAAAAAAAAACACAAAAAACAAAACAAAATAAGCAATTCATTAGAAAACTTTAAACAGAAAACAATGACAGGCAAAAGTCGTATCAGTTAAGAAAAGAGAAAAAAAGCCCTCAAAGTTTAAAAAAAGTCATGGAACTATGACAATTTATGCAGGGCAAATAATTTGATACACAGGAAAAGTATTTTAGCACAGCTCAACAATTAATATTCTTCTAAGGATGATCTTGTGTTGTATACAGAAAGCACATTTCACAAGTCAGGAACAATTTCAATACAGTTTATAAACACAAACATGTCAAAGTTTTAAAACCTCTCACATTTGGGGGCTGGGGATTTAGCTCAGCGGCAAAAGCGCCTGCCTGGCAAGCGCAAGGTCATGAGTTCGGTTCCCGGTACCGGAGAAAAAACAAAAAACAAAACAAAAAAAACCAATAAAACCTCTCACATTTAAACAAGTAAATTTCTTTCCTTCTAGTCTTTGACTTATTTTAATCTGAAAACTTTAAAAAAATAAAGTACTTACATATTTAAGAAAGATGTCACCAATGCTTTTGCTCTCATCCCAATTAACAATAAGGTCTTCAAGATCATCCTGAAAACACAAATTGAAACTTTGAAAATTAAATGACAATTCCTTGAACATTTTTATTTCCAGGATATTCACTGAAAAGAAGCACTTTAAAAGTGTCTTAACTGGATGTACAAAGTAATGAATACCCCATTCTTTCCCAACAACGAATTTTTTTGTCTACAGAATAATCCCTTAAAAACTAACTAAGAAAATACAAAGAGTATTCAAGTCTATAAGACTAAGCCTAACTTCCAAATATGAAATTTCAGTATCTTTTCTTCTTAATTATAAACCTAATTCATGTTATAATTTAAGGCTTTTGAATCAAATAATTTCTGTCTCAAGTATTCAACTCTGAAGAGTAGAAGCAGTTAGAAACAATCCATAAACAAATAGTATGGCTGTGTTCTAAAAATCTGACTACCTAAACAAGATTGGGCTGGATTTGTTCCATGAACCACAGTTTGCTAATCCTTGGTCTACAAAATTCCTCAGTCATTTAAAATATTACATATTTGTAAAGATTTAGAAGACATTTACAAACTTTATGACAAAACACAAATCAGATGATAAAATGAGATGCCAAGAAATGATGTGTCCTAAATTGAAATTCTAAGTGATTAGTGATTTTTAAAGTAGAAATCAATCAATAAGCTCATATCAGAGGTTTTCAAAGTGTCACCTGAAGGACTCTGGCAAACACTTTCAATGGAATCCACAAGATTAAAAATATCTTCAGTACAATGCTAAGGTATTATTTTACTTTTTCACTCTCGCTCTAAGTACATAGTTTTCTAGCAGCTACATGATTTGTGATATTGTAGCAAACTAATTGTAGAAGCAGATATGGCAGTCAGTCTTCCATTAAACCAGAAAGTAAAAAAAATTACAATATAAAATAACATCACTCTTCTTGTTAATTATTTCTGTTTTGGAAAGTAGTTATTTTTTCATTAAGAATATGTTATTTATGTTACCATTCAATGAATTATTATTTTACACTAATATTACATTTTTAAATGAGGTATCCATCTGACATTAAAAAGATGAATTTAATTACACCCTTACTTCAAACAAAAGAACTTTTAGAAGAAAATATAGGAGGATACATTTAAAATCTAGGGTTAAGCACAATTTATTAGCTATGACACCAAAAGCACAGTCCATGAGCGAAAAAAAAAAAAAAATAGATAAACTGCATTTCATCAAAATTAAACATCTTTGTATTTTAAAACGACACATATTCAAAATTTATCAAGAATGCTTACAACTCAATAACGTGACAACTTAATCAAAGAATAGGCAAAAAATCTATCCAGACATTTCACCAAAGGTGATATACAAATTGTTAGCAAGCATATGAAATGATGTTCATTAAACATTAGAGAAGTGCCAATTAAAACTACAAGAGATTCCACTTCACACTAGAGTGGTTGTAACTTAGTAAAGAAAATATAAAGGCAATAAGAAGTATTTATGAGAATGTGTAAAAATTAGAAGCCTCCTATAGTACTTAGTGGGAATGAAAAATTCTGGCAATCTCTTAAATGTTTAAAATATAAAATTACCATCCAACCCAGTAACCCAAATGTTCATCATCTGGAAAATGGATAAAGAAATTTGGTATAATGAATACAAAGAAACATTATTTTGTCATAAAAGGGAACAAATGACTAATACGCTACAATCCTTTATGAAGCTCCAAAACACATTAAGAAGAAGACAGACCTAAGAGACAGTATGCTATACAAATGCACCTAGATGAAATGTCCAGAAAAAGAAATTCATAGAAAGCATTAATGATTGCACAAGGCTTGGAATTTATAAATGAGATTAAAGAATCTTATTGGGGATGCAGAGTGCCAATGTTCTAAAACGGACTTATAATGATGGTTGTATTACATGATAAAGTACAATAACTGAACTGTATTATTTTTAAACAGGTGAATTTAACACATAAATTGTACATCAATGAAACTGTTAAAAAACTGATACATCTTTAAAAATTTTCAAATTTTGCTTTAATTTTGAGTGCAGTTAATACCAATAGACAGGGGCTGGGGATTTAGCTCAGTGGCACAGCGCCTGCCTGGCAAGTGCAAGGTCGTGAGTTCGATTCCCGGTACTGGAAAAAACAAAACAAAACAAAAAAAAACCAATAGACAAAACCCACATAGCTCTGGGGATATAGCTCAGTGGAAGAGCACTTGCCTAGCATGCACAAGCCCCTGGCTCAATACTGGCTCAATCAATTTGGTGCTACAAAATAAAAATACATAAATAAAACACAAGCACAAAGACTCATTTTGTAAAGGGGGAGGTGGTGGCTGGGACCAAGTAATTTCAGAACCAGTATCCTATACTAACAGATCCAGAATAGTCTGAAAAAGACAAAGAACTACTTTCGCAGCATAAAAGTGAATTCAAAGTAAGAATTCCTTAACTCAAGTCCAAGAACTAAAAACCCTTAACTATTCAAAACTGCACTTGGAAAAGAAAAAAAAAAAAGACAATTATAAAGAAATCTAACCTGTGGGCAACACAATACAGTGGATTCCAGTGTTGACTACTGAGATTTGAATATTGGCTGTAGGGTTTATTAGTCTTTGGCCCTTGGACAAAGCTTAACACTTGTAAAATATTAAGAAGAATCCTTAACAGATAGGACTGCTAAATAAGCTATCATTAATGATATTTTCCCCACTTATATATTTAATATAAATTAGGTAAGATATTTGGCAAACTGTCATCTAAAACAGAAAAACTATCTTTTAAAAGCATGAGAGACAACATTAGTTAGAACTTCTTTTATTTTCTACCCTGCCCAGGCTAGCTATGAACTCTTCATCATCTTGTCTCAGTCTCTCAATTACTGGGAAACAGGGATACTCCAGAGCATTCAGCCTTAGATTACACTATTAGACAACAAGGGTCCAAATCCTAGAAGAATACTTTGGAAAATTATTTAATCTCTATGCAAAATATTTTCATACATACAAAATGTGACCAACAATACTATCAGCAAGAGCTCAATAGTTATGGTAGCATTCAATAGACGGCTAGCTATATTGAAAAGAAAAAACCTATACATGAAAAAGATGGACAAATTTCAGGCATGTTTGGGTGACGAGATTATGAGTATTCTTTCATTCCCTTTTTTTCTCCTGACTTTATAAATACCTAACAGCACAGACTACTTTCATAACAGAAAAGAACACAGGCTTCAAAATTTTTAAATGTGAGGCAAACCTGAAATCAGCTAAAAAATAATTGGTAATTCAACTTTTCAGAAGCAACTTAAAAATTACATTACATATGAGAAAACTAGAGAGTCATGACCATTTTTATAAGCTCCACTGAATCAGAGAAAATGATTTTTGGAATTAAGATTAAGATCCTGTACACAAAAAAGTATTATACACTCTAACTGACTGATACAAATTCAAACTGATCCACAAATTAGTGGCAGAACACCAACAGAAAAATCAACTTTTCTCTCTTGTTTTTTTGTGTTCCTCAGTGATTCTTATGAAACAAAGATATTCCAAAAAATACTTCCTTTTTCAAATATTCAGTATCATACATGGAAATAAACTAGCCCAAACTCTGGTATTTTAAGTAAACAAAGTTCCTCCAGCCTGCTATGGTAGCACATGCCTATAATTGCCACTTCTCAAAAGGCTGAGACAGGAGGATTGCCAAGTTCAAGGCCATCCTGGGTAACTCGCCAAGCCCCTATCTTATAGTAAAATTTAAAGTAGATTAGACCTATATAGCTCAGTGGTAGAGTGCTTGCCCAGCATGTGCAAAGCCCTGCGTTCAGTGGTCCTATCACAATCACTTAAAAAAAGATTGCTCCTGAGTTCAACTTAGCTCTAGAAATGAGCTGAAATATGATTGAGATTTTGATAAAATACAAATATATGCATTTGATAAATTATATTATCACTACTTTATAGATATTTTATCCTTTTGCTCACAATGTACATCAAAAGAAATTAATGTTTTTCTTCCAAAACATCCTATAATTCAGATTGATTCTTTAATTACAATGTAGAATAAACATTAATTTGGAATGTTTCAAGGAAGAAACTGATAAATTTTGTCATTCACTTCTACCAAAAAGGAAAAATAAAAATAACAACATTTAGTAAGTAGTTTAAGAGTTTGATATGTGCCTGTAATTCCCACTACTAAAAAAGCTAAAGCAAAAGGATCACTAAGGAGTTTGAGACCAGCCTAAGTGTGTTATTCAGCTTTCCTGTCGCTGAGACTCAATACCTGAGAGCCACAAGTCAGAAGATAAGCGGTTCAACATGGCTCACATTTGGGGGACTCACTTGGCTCCAAAGCCCAAAGGACATGGTGGAAAGGCATGGTTGAGAAAGATACTTAACTTACGGCAGTCAGAAAAAGAATTAGAAAGGAGGAGCCAGGAGAGAAACCCTCTAAAGGCATGGCCCCAGTCACACACTCCTTCCAATCAGACCCCACTCCTAACAGCACATTTACCTATAAACTCATCAAAGGACTCATCCACTAATGAATTATAGCACCCCTGTTATCCAATCACCTACCAAAAATCCTACCTCTGAACACATGAGATGTTGGGGGGATGATCTAGATCTAAATCACAACACTAAGACAACACTGCAAAAATAACAAAAGCTCATCTTGCCCAAAACTCAAAGACTCTTCATCACAGGAATATAATTTAAAAAAGGATAGCACTGTCTTATATAGTTTTGGACATATAGAGAAATAAGTGATCTCCAGGTCCATTACAGAGTTATATATCCTAACTGATATAAACAAACATATATAACCCAAGAGCAACTACAATAGGAAAGTAAAACATATAGTAAGAACCACATGTCTCTATAGAAAAGAATTCACAAAACCTTAACTTCTCTTTTAAATATTAATAGAAATCAAAAAATGAGGAAACAAATATTAAAGTAATAGAACAATGGGACAAGTGATTCAAAGAAACAGAGTAAGAAGTTTTAAGTACAAAACATACTTATTTAATAAGAAATACCTGAAAGATTATAACTATGCACCATCAAAAAAATTATTATTAACCTACTACATGCAAGTTTACCTTTATCTTAGTATGCACATCAAAGATATCTGGAATGCTACCAAAAATAGTCTTAATCTCTTCTGGTGCAAGGATAGGGCCACCACGTTGTCCTTCCTCTTCCAATGGTACCTGAAATAACTAAATAGAAGAAGAGTAATTTAGGTAGACTGTTAAAAACGAAGACAAAAAAGAGGCTAAAATACAGACAATGAGATGAGAGATGAAATGTCAATGAATAGAAAAATAGAAAACACTCTCCCTACATTTGAGATATATTTTTCTCCTAATATTTTCAATTCATTTACTTACATATGTGTATATAGGAGCATAATTAAACAAACATACAGAAGTATATACGTATAAAAACAGATTCATGAAATATTATCTCATGTTAGAAGCTAAAAAAAGTTCATTTGTTTTAGAAAAAAAATCATTAAAATTGTTACAAGAATAATTTCTTCTTCTTTACTGAAGTTACACAGAAGAAAGCAATAAGTGGTTATTTCCAAACATATATTCAACAGAAGTACTAAATGCTTTAGAAATCATAGTATAGAAACTTCACTTAGGAGAAACAGTAGATGTGATACTCCAGGACCTGTCTATACATATATGTTATTGCTTATATCTATCTAAAAAACAAAACCAAGACAAACAAAAAAAACAGGAAAAAAACTTGAACTAATACAAGGGCAGTGTGTGTGTGTATGTGTGTATGTGTGTGTGTGTGTGTCTATATATAATATATATATATTATATATATTTCTACATATCAGGAATTATACAAGTTGAAAATAAAATTTTAAAGGCAGTATCATTTGTAACAAAAAGAAAACAAGTACAATGAAACATGTACATATGCTGAAAACCATAGAAAGCAGATGAAAGAAATCAGAGTTAAATAAAGACACACAGTCATGGACTAAAAGACTCAACACAATAACACTGTCGATTCTCCTACAAATTGATCTATACATTTCAACACAGTATCAATCAAAGTTCTAGAATTTTTTGTAGATACAAAAAATTTAAATTCTGATTCTAAATATTATACGGAAAGGCAAAGTAATTTCTTAGCTACAAAGTCACAATATTCAAGTTTGTATAGTATTGGTAAAGGGAAAAACATATATATATATATATATATCAATACAACAGAATTAAAGTACAGAAAAAAAAAAAGCTATGCAAATATGGCCAAGTAATGCTTTGCAAAAGGAATCCAGTGTACTTTTTTTTTTTGTTTTGTTTTTCTCCGGTACCGGGAACTGAACTCACGACCTTGCTCCAGTGTACTTTAAACATATGCAATCATGTATCTCAAAAAAATTAATATCTAAAATATATAAAGAATTCTCAAAACTCAGGAAGGAAATAATCCAAATTTAAAATGTGCAATGATCTTAAATAGGTATTTCGATAGGAAACCAACAGATGTCAAATGAGGACAGAGATGTTCATTACTCATGAAAAAGAAAAGAAATGCCACCATGTGATACCATTATAATGACCAGTAGAATAACTAAAGTAAGTATTACTGAAACTTTCAAGCACTGGTGAGGATGTGAGCAATTAGAACTTTTATACATTGCTGACAGAAATGCAAAATTGTATGTACCTTTGAAAAAACATTTGGCAGTTTTCTACAAAGTCAAACAATACCAGTTCTCGTGGTATTTATCCAAGAGAAAAAAATTTATTTTCACATAAACCTGTACATAAATGTTGATAATAGCTTTATCCATAACCACCAAATACAAGAAACAACTCAGATGTCCTTTAATGAGTCAGGAAATAAGCTATGGTATATCCATATGATGGAATACTATACTATTCAAAAATAAAAAAGATCATATTCTCAACACACACAGATGATTCAAGGGCTAAAGGACCAGTCTCAATAGATTATATATGACATGATTACATTCATATGACATTCTCAAAAAAGACAAATATTATGGTGAAATAGTAAAAGAGAAAAAGATAAATCAGTTTTTACCAGTGGATGGGTGAGAAAAGGGCAGGACTTATAAAGAAAGAGCACCAAGCAGCTTTTCAGGTATAGAAAAGTTCTGTATTTTGATTATGGCTACATAAATTTGCACATGTGTCAGACTTGATAATTCCCCATTTTAAATTGGATTTAAAAGTAAAATTTTAAAAGTAAATTGACTACTAAAAATAGAAATAATGTATTACTGGGCTCAACATAGAAGTGTGATAAAAAATACAAAATATTAAAAAATTTTAAAATTTATTACAGTAAAAGACATACTACCATTAATTCCCCCTCAACAAATTCCCCCTCATTTCAAACACACTTATCCCACCATTCTCGCCACATTTTGAAGCACTCTGGAAGTCCTCCTTCATGTCTTTAGTTGCACTGGTTACCATGGCTGCTTCAATGCCCTCACATTTGAAAATCTTTACCTTTCATGGTCATTTTGACATTGGGGAGGAGTCAGATCCAGTGAATAAGGTGGGTGAGGACACACTAATGTTTTTACGAACTGGTCATCCCACTGGATGGCACTTGGCAGCAGCATCCACGGTATTGGCTTTTTGCATACTTCATAAAGACACTCACAAGTAAGGACTTCCACAATTGCTTCAGAGTAGCAAGAATGATGGGATAGACATTCAAAGCAAAAGAGTACTTTGAGGGGAGATTGATTGCAATTTGTCTTTTACTATTAAATGCAGTTTAAAAAATTTAAACAGTCACTGTATTTGTTGGGCACCCCTTGTACACAGAAGTAAAATGAATTATCAACAATAAAACAAAGAACAGGAAGGCTTGAACAGAAGTTTTAAAAAATACTATAAGGAGTAAGGAACTTCATGAAGAACTGTTACTATAAGCTAGGCATCCACATACACTGGGGATGAAACCCAGGGCCTCAGCATGTTAAGTATGAGTTCTGCCACTGAGCAAACAATTCTTTATTTTTCATGTTATTTTTTTTCCTGACGATATGTAAAACTTCTTCATTCCCTAAAACAAATTTATCCTTTGCACAGATGTCAAAATAATATCCTATTATTGTACCTTTCAGAACTTTGAATTTCAGTTTATTCCTTAATACCTTCTTTAATCTCTTCCTATATGGATTCATTATAATTGTTATTCTTCAGAAATAACTTCACAGACAAGTTTAATATTGGTAAGCAATGAGATCACATTTACAACCACTGAAAATTTCTTGTCACATGATTACTGAAAAAAAATTACTGACAATACTGTTAAGCTTCACTGATATTGTTTAGATGATCTTTTTTCAAATGCATACAGTATTAAAGCAATGGCTTTAAAAGACACACTTTCAGAAAAACTTTCTACCACTTCCAAATATACATGCAGTATCCTGGCAATGGGAAAGCTGTCAGGATCAAAATGGGGTGACTTGTGTCAATCCTAACCAAAGAAGAGTGAAGAAAACCAAGATGTTATATACAGGAAAGGTTCTTAAACAAAACTACGTAATAGTAACTAACATAAAGACTGTCAAAACCACAAATTAGAGGTCACAACTTAAAAAAAATTCTTCTACAAGGACATCTGCCTAGCAACTGCCTGTTCAACATCATACTGACACTATTCATAAAAACGAAAGCCAAGGATTCTTTCAAACCATCTGATATAAACCTCATATTTGTCTTTAAAAGCCTTCCCTTGCTGCAACTTCTTTCAACATATCTACAGTATGCTATAGCACATATATTCTTTGGTTTTTTTGTTTGTTTGTTTTTCTTCTGGTACCAGGAATCAAACTCACAACCTTGTGCTTCCAAGGCAGGCGCTTTGCCACTGAGCTAAATCCCCAGCCCCTAGCACATATATTCTTATTGCAGGGCTTTGCTAGTCCCAAATAAATATTATTCTTTGGAGAATCTGTTTTAGGTTGACAAGGAACCTGCGAAATTCTGAATCAAACTTGATTTTAAGATCACTTTGTGTGTGTGTGTGTGTGTGTGTGTGTGTGTGTGTGTGTGTGGTGCTAGGGATTGAATCCAGGGCCTTACACATGCCAGGCAAGTACTCTACCACTGAGTTACAATACCAGTCCTTTTTATTTATTTTTTTACTTTGAGACAGACCCTTGCTAACTTCCCCAGATTGGCCTCCAATTTGGGATTCTCCTGCCTCAGCCTCCCAAGTCACGAAAATTATAGAAATGCATCAATCTGCATGGCCTAAGATCACCTACTGACAATCTTTTGTCTATAAGTCATTAATAAAAATGGTGCCATTTCTAGATAAATTAACAGGTACTACTATAGTTGACATTCCCTTAACAGCAATTTTTATCACACATTTTTCATTTTTAACACCTATGCTCAAATTATATCCATATATAATTTTGCTAGAAATAGTATCTTCAAAAGAAAACCCACAAAGGTATAAAAATAGGAACAAAAATGGAAAAAAAAATCTTTCGGATTACTTATACTAAAAAAATCACTTTACAACCAAATTTATACTTACTTGAATAATTGTTGCCAATATATTTACATAATTACTTTCAGTCTGATAAAGCTCTTTTGCAACTTGCCACCTGGCCGACTGCTTTGAAGGAACTGGGGTAGAATTTTTAGAAGACTTACTACAAGACTTTGGCGTTTCTGAAAGGTAAAAAGGAAGATTTAATGGAAGCCAGATCTAAATACCAAAGCACACAAATCTTCATTGAAGTAAAATTTCCACACAGACCAGAAAAAAAATATCATTGGCGCCAAATTGATAAGACATTTTACTAATAAAGAACCTATATGCTGCAAACATGTCAAGGTCATTCAATGCAAAGAAAAACAAGCAACTGTTCCCAATTACAGAAAACTAGAAAGAGAATAATGCCTGATACTGGATTGAATCCCAGGCCAAAAACAATCTTTTCTCTTACGAAAAAAGACATTAAACCATCAATGGAACAACTAAAAAAAATTTGAAATCAATAGTTTATATGTCTGCAACATACTCTCAAACAGTACAGATATTTAAAACTGTGTGTGTGTAGAAAAAGAGACTCTGACTGAATTAATTCTACAGTAAACATGGTAGAATACTCCCACCTGGAGAATCTGTACAGAAGGCATAAGGATCTTTATAAAGCTAAATAAAATAAAAGAGAAGTGACACATCATGCTAAGAAAAAAGCACAAAAAGGTTGTTACAGTTACACAGTAGAATAATGGGAAACTTTTCATATACTTAAGAAGGAAGCCCCCATCACAACCCACCGTAAAGAAAATATTAACTGAAAATTAGTTAAAAGTTACACTATATCTTAATACAATATAAAACATCCAGTCGATCCCAGAATGCAAGCACATTTTATAAGTATTTCATGAAAGAAAAAACTGATAAAAAATTTTCACAGAAATGTAAAATATATTTTTTTACTGTCAATATGGCTAGAATACTTTACTGTTATATATAGTAACTGCTAACAAGTTTTTTTTATAAGAAAAGGAATGTATAACGTAAAAGTAGAAAGTGTGACATGAAAATGATTTATATTCCCAGCATGTTGACTTTATTCAATGGTAATTTAAACATTTTTGTACAAAAACAGTCACGTGTACTACCGAATGCCAAATGCTTTTGAAAGATAGTAGACTTCAAAGAAATTTCCCACTTTTGTTATTCCAAGCTACACTCTCACCAGATGCACAAGCTCTGCCACAATAGGTCATTTCAGTGGAGGAAAAATTTAGATACACTCATCTAATTTAATTATATTGTGTCTATGGGGGAATCTACAAACTGAGGATACTATTTTTTAAAGTACCGAATATATTAGTATGATTACTGTCTATTTCCTTTAATGGTTCATATTCTTCTGTCTCCTAAACTGCATATTTAAATTTTAGTCCTCTATGATCAGTTCTTATCATGCTATGCCTTTGTCCATTACAATTACAGAACCAGTAAATTCTTAGATGTATATTATCTAATCATCTCTCCCTTCCAAGCACATTGTTCAATTTTTCCAAATATCTACAGAATACTTTTTAATGTACCCTGGCTTTCTTTAAAACTTCACTATCTTTCTCCAAAATATAATCATCCTACTTACACTAGGGCAATGTTTCCTTTAAGTCAATGCTTTACCTTCATGTTTTACTCCCTTCCTATCACTCCAGTCTATCAATACTTTCCTAGTGCTTCTTACTTTTCTTTCCAACCACTTGTCTTGACTCAGTGCCTTATTACCTCATAGCCCAGGCCAGTACCGTAGATTACCTCATGGTCTGGCTGTCTCCAAACTGCCTCCCCCAACTATTCTTCAAACTATTATAAATTCCTCACTCTACTGCTTAAAGTTTTCTAAGACTCCTTGTTGATGACAGTATACAGTTCAGTCATACTAGTCTGATTTCTAAGTTAGCAAAGTTTCAACTAGATGTTAAATTAGGCCTTTTTAATGTAACTATTCCTCTTCAATACTCCAAACGAACTGACCTATCTAAAAACTCAATCTGCTTGCAATAATCTGTATACTTACTCCTCTTCATATTCTCAAATTCACCTCAGTTCTCCGGACTAAAACGTACTTTCAATTCCTTATATTTAATGAATACCAACTCTGTACTAGGGTCTGAGAATAAAGTGGAAAATAAGAGAAGATTCTTGTTCTCTTACGGCTCACATTCTGATGAAGTAAATCAAATAAAGTATTTTAAAGAACATAATTTCTAACAGTGCTAATTACTACTTAAAATAAACAACAGGTGAGACAATTGGTAGGAAGAAGTGATAGAACAGGACCTAATCTTAAGGAAACTAGTAAGTTTTTCTTGAGGCTGAGAAAACATGCACAAAGGTCCTGAGGTACTGGTATACCAGAAATATTTGAAGAATAAGAAAGACAGTATGCCTTAAGGTGAGAGAGTATTACTAGACAGTGTGACACATGACTTTGTAGTAACACCAGCAAGGGCAGGATTACACAGGAACTTAAAAGCTACAGTAATACAAATCCATTGAGTGATTTTCAAGCAAAATTTTGACTTTAAAGTCAAAAATGAAGTTGGAGAAATCGAGAACTTTTTTACAGAAAAAAATTGATAAAGGAAGGATGATAAAGGAATAGAAGAATTGAGTAGTAGAATCAAAAGTTCAAATTTTGTTTAAAATGTTTATCAGATATGTTTCAAGAAGGTATCAAGTAGGCAGGTAGATAGGGAAGAAGACAACATTGGAAGTCATCAATATACAAATGGTATTTAAGCCAATTAAATGAGGTCATTTAGAGAGAATAAACAATGAGTCAGGAGGAACATAAAACATTTGGATTCAGAGTTGGAGAGAAACACTAGCAAAGGAGGATGAGAAGTGACATCAGAAAAGCCAAAAGGGAAAAAAAATGAGTGCATGAAAGAGAAGCTGTTCATAAACTGAATGCTACAGACTGCATTAAAAACTATCTCAACAGCAATTTTACATAGTAGGGCCTGCAGCTTAATTGAAATGATTGGAAAGGATAATGATAAACAGAAAATGACTTAGTGAATCAAGGTAATTCTTTGAAGTATTACTGATGTGAAAAGGAAGAGAAAACTGAGCCAATAACTAGAGACAGGAGGGCCAAGAAGACTTGGGTATTTTTATTTCATAACTCTAGAAAATATATTTGTCTGTAGACTAGAAAGAAAAATACTGACGATCATGAAAGAAGAGTTAATTGTAGGAATATTCCTATGTTAATTCAACAAAAAGTAAACTCATCCTCTTAACTTTTGGTACAATTTTCTCCATAGTTACATCAAAAACAAAACAAAACAAAACAAAACAAAAAACTCCTACAATTTTGTTTAGCTAGTTTTAAAAATTTGCTTTTGAGGCTAAAGATGTAGCTCAGTGTTCAAGCATTTGCTCTCAGCATGTATAAGGACCATCGGTTCAATCTCTAGCACCAAGCAAGGACGAAACAAAAGGATTCCTTTTCTGTAACTCTCTAGCTATAAGCCTAGGCAAATTATTTAACTTCTTTGTATCTCAGTTTTGTCACTTACAAAATGGGACAATGAAAGTTACTACAATACACAAAGTACATTAAAGCACTTAGCATGTACATGAACAATCAAATAGAAGCATTATTAGGCTTAACCTTTTCATGTATCTGTTCTCTACAAGAAGAAAGGTAGTTAAAGGCAAAGCCCTTCAAATTCACTATAGTAGGGATTTATCTATATTCTAAAAATTATTCCACTCTACTAAATTTTAAAGATCAATTTTTAAAAATGTAAATTACCTCCATAGTTGATACTAGACTCTGGTGTATTGGAGATATCAAGGAGTGATCCTATAGAAAGAGAATGTTCGGCCGATGGACGCTTACGAGGAGGAAAAGGTGACAAGTCTGTCTCCTTTGAAAGCTGAGCAAGCGTCTCTTTTAAACGACGTCTTTTGCGATTGCTGTTTGGGGTATGTAGAGAAAGCAGTGACACCGATTTCTTGAGCTCAGGAGTATTACCCTGTAATCAAAAGCACAAAAACTCAATTTTACTTCTATGGTTCATTACTGAGACAGAAACAAAACAAAATGATCGGAGCGTGATAAAAATCTGAATTTTCTACAATATTTGATAACCCTACACTCTACCAGATAAGTCAGAAGATTTGTAAAACGTAACTGTCAACAGACCATGTAACTGTCTAATCACAGGAACTCACAGTTTTTCTACATACCACTATCACCATTACATATTCATCTGTTAGCTTATTTACTGCCTAGTCCTCCATTAGGTTACAAACTCCACGAGGGTAAAGATCACTTACATTCAGTTCACTTTTCCCAAGCATTTAACACAGTGTCTGGACATAGTGCTTTCAAATATTTGCTGAATAATACTTGATTCTTAAGATCTTTCTCCCTGAACATAAAGCATACTTTTTAAACTTTACGTTAACAACTTTACATTGTGAACAAGAGTCTAAAGAAAGCACAGTATGGTTCCTATTTAGATTTTATCAAGGAGCTGGGGATTTAGCTCAGCGGCACAGCACCTGCCTGGCAAGTGCAAGGACGTGAGTTCAGTTCCCGGTACTGGAAAAAAAAAAAAATAATAATAATAATAATAAATAGATTTTATCAAGTAATAAATCCACACCTCACCTTTAATATTTTGCTTAAAATTATTACATCCCAACCTAAAGTGTATCTTTTAAAGCTTGCTATCATCTGAATATTACTCTTCACTAACATCAAGCATGAAGGCTGGATTTTCCTTGCCTATACTGTTATTAAAATAAACACTTCAATGACATCTCCTTCCTCAAAACTCTTTAACATATTGAAAACCTGATTCTGCCTATCAAATTTTATCTACCCGCCTTTCCCTTGTTTTTTTTTTTAAAGTCATACTCAACTTACTTGCTATTTTAATGTACTCTCAAGCTTTCATACCTTCTCCTCCCACCCCCTATTCTAACTTACATGTCATTACCTGGTGAACCTAGTATGTTAGCTCAACATTTATTTGCCCTTTTCAGTCCTGCTCTGAAAGAGTACATTACTCAATTACAACACACATCCTTCTATGTAGTAATGGTTTGCAACTGTATCTCTTCAGTAAGGTTTTAAGTTTCTAAAGACAGAGATGTTATTGTTCATAAAGGTATCACCACGAATTAACAAAGAATGACATATATTAAACTAAAACAACACTCACTACATTGAATTGTTTCACCTAAATCTACATGGACTAAGAATAACAGTTGATATTAAATTGTTTAATTACTCTGAAACTCCTAAATATATTATAAAAGATGACATGGGTATTGATTATACCATGTTTTCCAGATCTTCTCCACAGAAAAGTATTATTTTTATACAGTTAAGTCCACAGAACTACCTAAGTGCTAAAAAACATACCTTTTCATACAAATACATAGTCTCTCCAGCACGGGCATCCATTTGAATGCTTCCCCAGAACCACTGGATGAAAGAAAAATATTTTAATTAAGAATTTAAAGTTACCCTATCAGAGAACCTCCTAGTAACTTTTGTTTTAAATTTCTTTCTAGAATTACTTGCCTCTTGCTTGACAACATAAAGTTTCTTTGAAGGTTCAAATGGAAGTTCTTTTACTACATTCTCTTCAACTATAAGGTGAGTGCATCTTTCATCTCCAACTGGTAAATAGTTACCTCCTAAAGAGGAATGCACACAAGTATAAATAAGCCAAACTACTGATCTCAAAACCTAAATCATAAAGGAGTATATTCACTAGGAGCTGAGTAAACTGCCCTAAGGAATATAATATACATAACTTTAAACTTAAGCTAAATTTTACCTTGCATTTCAGTCATTTCTTCCATATTGGTTTTCTCTTCATCTGAAAATCCCAGGAAACTTAAAATGCAATCTTGAAATGGAGGAACTTTAAATTCATTTCTAAAATCATCAATTGCTGCACAGAAATCCCTAAAATTGAAATACATTCTTCTAAAACCAGTTTAACTTAAATTCAACTAGTGAGTATCAATTTTAAAACCTGGACTAATTCTCAAAATATTAGTATAATGTGTTTCTTGAATATATTTTACATTTGATCCTAAAATAGTCACAAAAACTTCCATTTAAAAGAAAAAACTGGGGGCTAGGGATGTAGTTCAGTGGTAGAGCATGCATGCGCTTAGCATGGAAGAGACAATGGGTTCACTATCCAGCACCATCAAAAACAACAGAAATACTCAAGTCATCCTGGGTAACTTCTGAAAAAATGTGAACACAGGCAGCCTTTATAAGAAGATGCAAATGCCTGCTGTATATTCAAAATTTCATACGTATTTTAGGACTTTCTTAGTTTCATGAAATCATGATGAAATGCCAGAGTAAGAGATAAAGGGGGTTGGAAAGTTTAGCAAAATAAGAGAATGAACTGCAAGCAGCAATTAAAATATAATCAAAAAAATATAAAAGAATCCAAATACTCAGATGTGTTAAGCTATTATCTAGTAATTTTAGAATGTTTATGACGATCAAAATTATTTCACAAAGTAAAACCCAAAGCATACCACATGTCTTTCAATTTTGTATTTTTTTAAAACTTAGGTTATAAACTACCCAGAGACTGAATTCATTTTTTTCTATGAAATGTATGAATTTAATTTTTTGGCACATGGATTTATCTTTAAACCACATGGTGAATTCACAAAATGAGCTACTGAATTCCTAAACACTTACTGTTCATTCCGCCTTTCCCATGCTTTATAAATCCAATCTGGCTTCATAATTGGAGTACCCAGACTCACAGCAATCTAAAAATAATATTATTACACTGAATTTCATCTTAAATAACCACATTCAAGGAAGTTCTACAAAAATAGATATATACCTTTTTAGCATACTTTTAAGTTACCATTCACCTGCTTTATAACAACATACAAAGAAAAAAATTAAAAGGCTGCCTCTCAATCACATAAGTTAAAATAACTTTAAAATAACTCCCATAGTGTCCAAACTTTCTGTACTTTAGTTTAAATAAATACAGTATATCTTGCTGAGCATGGTGGCACATATCAGTAATCCAAGCTACTTCGGAGGCTTAGAGAAGAGGGTCACAAATTAAAGGCAGCCTGGGTAACTTAGGGAGACCCCATCTCAAAATAAATAAAAAGAGTGAGAATACAGCTCAGCAATCCCTGTGTTCAATCCCCAGTACCACAAATAGACACACTAGATAATAGATAGATCTCTATTAAATTGATCTTTATTAAATTTCTATTTCTGTTTTCTTCATGTTTACTGCCATGTAAGCACTGACAAAGACAGCACTACAGAAGAAAATATCTAATTAAGTCACCGAAACCTTACATACGGTTTAGAAAGTTTAGGGTAATCTTACAATTACCCTAAAATTACCATTTGCTACATAAATATACAGAGAGAGTGTGAGAAAAAATGACAAATTAAAATCTTGCTAAGACAAACTACAATTTTAAACTAGGATTTCAATTCTCATAAAAGTGCTTTCTCCCGTGCTTATAATTTTGCTTACAATTTTTGTGCTTATAATTTTGACTTTATAATTGAATACTTTAAGCAATTAAATACAACTCATTTAGCATTTTTACTATTTGTAAAATTCATACAAGATTTTTATGAAGACAATAAATTTTACATCAAAAAAATGTAAAAAACATTAAGTTGCCTAATGCCATAAGTAAAATTAAATCACAGAACCAGTTTATAAAAAAAAAAACTCTTCTTATAAAAACCACTTCCAAGTAAAATATCTGCTCTCACCCTACTTGACCACTTTATTACCAATGATTAAGGTAACCTTTGCTAATATAATTCATCTGCCTACAATGTTACCCACCTACTAAACCTCAAAATCCTACTCATCTTTTAATATCCCATTCAAGTTCTATTGCCTTCTTAAAAACTAAGGGATTGGGGGCTGGGGATTTAGCTCAGCGGCAAAAGCTCCTGCCTGGCAAGCGCAAGGTCGTGAGTTCGGTTCCCGGTACCGGAGAAAAACCAAAAAAAAAAAAACTAAGGGATCACACTCCTACGATTTAAAACCTTACTAAATTTACTCAGCAAAATTTGAATTTCTGACTCTCAATAAATTGTAGGGGAAATAGATTCAGAGAAGTGCTATTATCAAAAACATCCCAAAATAATGCTATATTAAAATATATAGGAATACTCTTTACATACCCTGAATTTTTCTCCTTGTGTGCAATTTGCCACCAAATGTGTAACTTTTGAATTAAAATCTTTTCGAATAACTCCACCCATATGATGGACCAATGTCACCAATCTGACCTCAAAAGAAAAATTAAGCAACATTGACTTTATAATTGAATACTTTAAGCAATTAAACACAACTCATTTAGCATTTTTACTATTTGTAATATTCATACAAGATTTTTATGAAGACAATAAATTTTACATCAAAAAAAATGTAAAAAACATTAAGTTGCCTAATGCCATAAGTAAAATTATAGAGATGTGCTTAATACAGATCACACAAAGCTAAGTTAAACAACTAGTTTGCATACTGTATAAATATACTGTGCTTTTAAAGATACCATCCTGCCTAAATAGTTATTGTTTTTCGTTTTTTTGAGAAAGGGTTTCACTATGCAGTTCTGGCTGTCCTCGAACTCACTTTGTAGCCCAGGCTACAAACTCAGAGCAATTCTCCTGCCTCAGCACACTGAATGCTACATGTGTGCAGCACTATACCCAGCCTAAAGTCTTATTTTTAAATGCCAGGTTATATCAAGAGTCTTTCCACAAAATTACAGAAATTCATTAATTCTAATATACAAAATATTGTAAACCCCAGAAAAAAGTTTCTATGACTTCTCTAGGGCACTAATAATAATTTAAGACTAGACTCGTATAATAGAAATTTGCAATGTATACACAAAAATTTCAAAAAACCAATGTAAGTGGTACGATATTTAACAAGATAGTTAAGATCAGATAGTTACGGAATTTTTCTGTCAATTCGCAAGCCAGCAATCCTAAACAAAGCATTCATTTCTTTACAAAGCTCTTAAGAATTTGTTCACAAAATTTAAAATGTGGTATACAGTCATAGTATTGCTTCTGCCAATATTTTTTTGTGTGTGTGTTTCTGAGCATAAGACAGTGTCTCTCTATGCAGTTCAGCCTGGCCTTGAGCTCACTTTGTAGCCCAGGCTGCTCTCGAACTTGCAATGATCCTCCTACTTCAGCCTCCCGAGTGCCGGGATTGCAGGCATGCATCACCATGACTGGCCTCCAATATTTTTAAAATAAAATCATGGTACCAAAAAGAAAAAAGAGAGAATTTTAAACTTATTTTGCTAGGGGAAAAATAATTATTGAATGGAACACTTACTAGTTCTTCTTTCTTCCTGAAGCCAGTAAAGCATAAGACTAAATTCATCATACTTGTACAATACAATGGACGACATGAAAATGGCAAAGGCTGAAAGATAAAACAATTTTAAATCTGTGAGTTTTATTTTAGTAAGTTATAGAAGACATCTACCTCATGCTAACAACATTTCCCCTCTTGCCAGTCAACTATCCCAATGCGAAGATTTGTTGGCATTTTTCAATATGCAACAAAAATAGCAAAAATCTGGATTGTAAGTTTACCAATAAAAAAAACCAATAAAAAAATGTTTAGATAACCTAAACACCCTTTACAACTAGCAGACTAAACAACAACAAAATTAATATCTAAATTATTTGCCCAAAATAAACTGACATATGAATTGTCTATAGGCAAAGATATCTTACCTCTCCTTTTTGCGCACAGTTTAATACAACTGGTGGTCCAATAATTCTACAGTCACCCTTGTGTAAGTCATTAAAGACAGAATCCTGGAACTCTGTGACTATGAATACATTCTCAAATTCTGGAGAATCCAAACTTTCAAATTCTTCCATTGAGTCCATCTTTACACAGGGTACTTTAATATCCTTGGTTTTTTCATATGGTGATTAGAAATAAAAAATAATTTATATGCCATAAAAATTAATGATTCTCTAAATGAAACCTAAAAAATCCATTCCCTATCAATATTTTTAACATATTTTTATACTTGTAGAAAACTTAAATTTTAATTATAAAATAACCATTACACATGAAAAACTGTATCTTTACTTACTTACATTTTATATGTACATAACTCTATACCATAATCTTAAATTTGAGAAATCAATTATTATAGACAATTATAAATTATTATAAATTTATGACTTATTATTTAGTAGTCACCATAAATTGTCTAGTATGCAACTAAGTTCCATAAAAATAGAATGGTGAATTTTTTTAAATAAACACATTTTGATACTAGGATGTATTACGAAGACATTCACTATTTTTTATTTACACCAAGAAAATGATACCATACATAAAATTCTCCCTGCACAAATTAACTATCTTCCAAATATATACTGATATAATCATTTTAGTAGATATGAAGAAAAGAGAAAGATCTGAAGTATATAGACAGTTGCAGCCCAGCAAACACAGGATATAAAACAGCAAGTCATTTGTGACATAGTTTATACTATCATCTACAAAAAGGAATGAAAGTACTAAAGAAACTGTAATTCTATCTAGAAAGAACACAACCATTTAAAAAATTCTGAACAGGTAAATAAATTATTGGACTTAATTTGCAAGGTTGGAGTACTGAGCTGAAGCGTGAGCCCCTAACACATTTTATGTTCAATTCCTAACCAGAATGCAAGATAAAGACCTATCTGAGAATGAGGCTGTACTTGGAGACAAGGCCTTTACAGAGGTAAGTAAGGTTAAATTAGGGAATGAGGAAACTAATCTAATCTGACTGGTGTCCTTCTAAGGCATCTAGAGCAAGGGAAGTAACTCAGTGATAGAGCTCTTTACTGGCATGCTCCAGGACCTGGGTTCAATCCCTAGTACCAAAAATAAATTTTTTTAAGAAAAGGTAGAAACTTGGACACACACAAAATAAACACCAGAGATAAACATAAACAGAAAAAAAGATCATGTAAGAAGGAGGCCATCTGTCAAGCTAACAGAAGCCTCAAGGCATTCTAAATCTGTTAACACCTTTACTGTAGACTTCTAGCCTCCAGAATTTCTGTTGTTACATTAGCCAGTATGTGGTATTTGTTTTCAGTCAGTAGCAAACCTGGATTAGAGAATTAGATATGCTGAGGCCAATTTTTTAATGATCACCGATTGCTATGATTTATAATTTGAGAAATATAGCAAGTATTTAGACTAAATATACAATTAAGGAAAAAGCAGCTAAAAAATTTAAAGAAAATTATCAGATCTTTGTACATGCTATGTGATTTAATAATTAAGTCCTTGTAAATTTGGCATTATCTAAAATAAATGTTATAGTTTTAGGTTTAACAAACACCTGAATTTTAAATAAAAAACATGTAGAGTCCACCAAAAAATTGTATAACATGATTCAAGAAAAGAAAAATAGTATGGTGTTTCTTAAACAAATGGTGCTACCCTTGTATGGGGGACCCTAAAGGAGGTCATATTATACTATGCACTGCTGGCCTTTAAAGAAGAAATTGGAAATCCATGTGTAGCAATCTCAACAAACAAGGTTACCCAAGCGGCAGTTGGCTGTACTAGTAAATGTCTGGAAGCTAATGGGTACCACTTTAAGCCCCTTCTTTAATTTTAGAGGCCAAAGATAATCTCATGATATCTCAATAAATTTAGTATTAAAATATTTGTGCAAGGTTTTCTTTCCCTGAAGTGTGTACACATTTTTTGGCAAACTGTAGTTTCTTTGTCAAGCATCAGAATGCACACCTCATGCCTAATTCCAATCACCATTAAAGTGGGATAATTCAATCCAGGGAAGTGCAGCATGCCACATGCAATGAAATACTTGACCTACCATATTAATAACACTTTTTATTAATTTTTCATCCGATTTTCCAGGACAACTTTCTCTTATCTTTATAACAGGGACTTCCATTATTTTAATAGTCTGTGGAAAAGAGACTTAAGTATAAGATTAAAAAAGCTATGAAACTATTTACATACTGATGGAAGAAAAATCACTTAAGAACTTAACTGCAAACCAAAACTGCATACCTTTAAGGCTTTTATAAGTTCTTCTTGTTTTCCAGCTTCTTGAACCATTACCACTCTTGTTTCAATCTGAGGCATTTCTTCTGTCAAAATTTAAGACATTTAAATATGTTTCTTAGGTTATTAACAACATAATCACTAATTCCTAATACTCTCTTGGCTACATCTTGCCATGTCTTCTATCTTGGAGGAAATCACAGCAATCTCTAAAATTAAAATGGCATATTTCCTAATTTAGTAGAAAAATATTTGGCCATATATTACTTTAGAAAATAAGAAAGCATGTTGTAGCAGGGTATATAAACAGTAGCATTCCTCCCAACCAGAGAAAGTACTATCTTGTATAGCTCTCCTCTTTAATAGCACATACTTTAGAAAAGACACATTCATAAAATAGTAAAGGAAGAAGTGATTTACTCAGACATGACCGAATAAATTCTAACTTAAAAATTTTGCAGCTAGATTTCCCTCATATACAAAAATAGCAATAGCAATATTAAGGTGCATCATCCTTTTCAAAGTTAGAAAGTATTAATCCAAATGATAAGCAGAAAATCTACATAGTGTGAAGGGATTCTGTCATATTTATTCAATATCTACACTCTAGCTTAACAGTTGTTATTAGAGTTAAATCATAAGAAAATTGCCAGTCAGTAAGTTCAGGATTAAAATAGCAGTTCAGTGTTTTAAAGCAGATAATAGATTTACCTTCAGCATATGAAGTATATCCAATAAATAGGTTTTCCTTAGAAGTTTCAGTAACTTTAGAATCAGAAATGGAAGTGTCTGCCAAGCTAGTCCTCCCAGTAGTGGATGTTAACACACTATTGTCAGCCATCGTTTGTAGTGCTCTAAGGTTGGCTGAAATGATAAAACAAAAAAATACATGAAGCAAATATAATTTTTTTTTTTTTTTTGTCTTTTTGAGGCAAGGTCTCCCTATGCAGTTCAGGCTGGCCTTGAGCTTACTTTCTAGCCCAGGTGGGTCTCGAACTCACAATGATCCTTCTGCCTCAGCCTCCCAAGTGCTAGGATTACAGGCATGCATCACCCCACCCGATTACAAACATAATTTTAGGCAAAAGCAGCATTAGATTCTACTTTCATACAGAGTCTACAAACAATGTTATTCATTTTCCTTAATAGTTATACAAAGAAAGTCTACTTCTCTAAGCCTCAGTTTCCTCTTCTGTAAAATAAAGATATTAATACTTGGCTCACTGGTATGTAAAAATAAAAAACGTATTAAAAATATACATGGACTATTACTGGATATAAGAAACACACAAAAGGTAGTCATAAATATTATTCTACCTTCCCCCATAACTCTACCCACAACCAATTTATTTTTCTAGTGTATTCATTTATAACACCTCTACCTACCACCACCAATAATCTTAGCAGAAAACATGGGATCCATCCTTACTCTTTCCTCTACCTCTTCTTCCCTCTCCAAAATTCCTATCAACCCTATCTCAATTATCTCTGGAAACTGGTCTTTCTTCTCTATGCCAAATGTCACAATGGCCACATAGTCTACTACATTTCCAAACAACTTTATCATCAGTTTCTTCAGAAATCATTCTCTACATGGCTTTCTGGGATATGGTCCTAAACAAAAAATCTGACCATATCATTTCTAACTACTTCCAGAAGTGCTCCACCCTATATACCAAGTCCAAATTCACCATCAAGCTTACAATTTAGTTCCAACCTATCTGTTCAAACTCATCACTTCTAAACGCCAACGTTCAGTCCACATACTATCTATGCCACAGTAACAATGAATTTCCTAGCATTTCTCAAAAAGAAGTTATAATGTACTTCACAATACCTACATATAAGTGTTCAACTTCGCATCCAGTGTATCTTCCAACCTTCAACCCAGAACCTCTCATGTATAAATGAAGTGTTTCCTTATCAGTATCTCACATTAAAAACAATTCTCTTCTCAGATTTAACAATTATGCATGGGTTAGTTCCAGTATAATTCTCAGGACTATGAAAGAAAAACCATTTTATTTTTTAGACTTCCAGGCCTTAAGCTTTGAAAAGCTAGGCAAACAGGGAATAAAGAAAAGAGTAATAAGCTTTCATGAGTTCATACTGGGGTTTTTATATAAGTTATCCTGAAGAAAAATGTTAAAATATTAAATATAAAGAGGAACCCTATCTTTCTCTGGAGATACATGTCTGATATACTCTCCCTTTTCCTACTTTTTCAGGTTAATAAAATATGCAAATACTTTGGCTCCCAGTTCTTGACAAAAAAAAAAAAAAAAAATGGTTTGAAATGTCCTGTCATGGAAAACAGTATAGTATCATTAGCATCATTTCTGGATGGTGTTACTAGGTATCCTGAAATGTGCACAACAACAGACCTTCCACACAGCTGGAGGCCATACACTTTGAAGTCAACTCAACTTCCTTTTACAGCTCTCCACTTAGTAGATTAAACCCCTTTTCTTATGGGTGAAGCAGACAAGATGACAACTCAAATCCAATTGTCAGGAAAATTAAAGAGATGAGATCTTAAAAAGACAAGTACTAATTCTCAGTGGTAGATCACTTGCCTACCATGGATAAGAACTTAGTTCAATCCCCAGCACCACAAACAAAATCCTCACATAATATTCACAACATAGATACAACCATATCAATCATTGTTTTAACTTCTCCAAAGGAGTGCTCCAGTAGTTTTAAATTCTTATCTGGAATCTGTAAATTCAATCTAGCCCTCTTTTGTTATTTAAACACTTCAATCATACCCGCTGAAAAGAAAAAGTCTCCTTAAAGAATGATTTAAAAAGGGAGAAAGCAGGGTGTGGTGAACCTGGATATCCCAGCATTCTAGGAGGCAGAAGCACAGGAGCGCAAGATCTAGTCCTGCCTGGGCAACTCAGAGACTTTTTAGATCCTTTCCCAAAAAAAAAAGTAGTGCACACCTGTAATCCCAGAACCCTTAAGGCTGAGGCAAGACTCTATAGTGAGTTTAAAGCTAGCCTAAACTGCATAGCTTCTCAAAATACACAGACAGACAGATGGACAGAGGGACTGACAGACAGACAGACAGATAAAATTTTAAAAGGACTAGGGATCTAGCTTAGTGTGAAAGCCCTGGATTCAATCTCCAGTAAAGGGGAGACAGAGAGATGAATTAACCTGCCCCAAGGATTGGAGGAGGGGAAATTTTAATTTAAAAATACCACTTCATGCAGTCAGGACTGGAAGAATGTTCTACAGAAAAGTTGGGTACTATGGTTGACAACATGTAATTGTATTATCTCAAAATGGCCAGTAGGATTTGGAATGTTCCCAACACAAGAAAATGATGAATGTTTGAGGTGATACAGCAATTACCCTGATTCCACACACTGTGTTCATGTACTGAAATACAAACATCCCTCATTTAACGACCAAGTTCCTTTCCTGTAACTGAATTGGTAGGTAAATGAGGAACGGTATATAGTTCAAGTCCACAATAATGTCATGTACATTATAATATTCAGAAGAAATGGTCAAAGAAAACTCCAACTTGATAGCTTGCTTGTTATTTGCATAACTCTTACATGCAGTACTATAATGTATAACAGAACATAAAACTATAGCGCTGTACTGTACAGTAAATCAGCAATTAGTGCTGTATAAACAAGGTTGCATTGTACAAAGAAAGAAAGACACTAAGGTTCTATAAATAAGGTGTACAGAACTGGATCCTAAGTCCAAACAGTTGTTAAACAAGTAGGCTGGTAACTGAGGAATGCCTGTATCACATTAAGGCATGTATCACACTTAAGGTATGGCTCAGTAGTCCGTGCCTACCATGACAGAGGTCCTAGGTTCAATCCCCAGTACCAAAAAAAAAAAAAAAAAAGGAAAGAGAAAAGAACGTGAGAATGATCTAATTGTATCAATTAAATGTTTTTTTAATTAAAAAAATACTATTCAGTGCCAAACCAATCAGTGGACTGTTGAGTAATCACACCCATAACGCTCAGCCAACTCCAAAGTAGCCCTATGACCCTATGAGGCTTTGGGGGGACATCTAGACACAAATCATAACACAGGGATCTCATTAAAAGTAAGTATGAAGCTGATATGATTCTGTATTTTTCCGTAAGCAATACTCTCAGAGCTTGATGTGTAGTACCTTTAATCAAATTAGATACTCATTTTTTTCTTTATTTTGCATTATGTTCAACCTATAGATGAACTGTATTATTTACTTTAAATAAGCTTAGTATTTATGTAGTTTTTGCTGGGGTTTTTGTGCTTATTTTATAGATTGGGAGGTAATGACAACTAAAAGAAATTTCACTAATTTATTTTGGTAATTATTCATATTTTTCCACTAGCTTATACTTAAATTCTTGTATATACTCTGTCTTCAGCATAACAAAAGACATTGTTGAACTGGACGCTATATTTTATATTAAGATCTATATTTTCAGATATTTGTGAACATCAGTTTTTTTATTAAAGTTCAATTGCTTTCAAAAAAGAAATACTATTGCAGTTTACATTTTTCTATGCTTCCCTCTTTAAAGGCCATAAAAACAAGTGATTCAAAATTTATAGAGAAAAAAGCAAGGTCAACAGTTGCTGTAATTAACATCTAAGAGTCCCGTTACAATACCATAATCACTTGTTTTCACATTCCTGTGCTCTAGAAGTTTGTAAATAAACACAGCAGGGGCTGGGGGTGTGGCTCAGTGGCAGAGCACTAAAGGTGCCCAGTATGCCCAAAAGCTGGATTCTCATCACCAAAATATATAAAGTACACACTATAGCTATAGAGTCAGTGTTCAGAAATCCATAGTTTGTTTCTCTGCTCTGAACAGCATCAAGGAGCCTCTTACTCAATGTACTCTTGCACAGAGATTCTTTTAGACAATCACTCGTTTTAAGTTACCTTTTCTTCAACTTCTTTTTAGCAACCAAGGTCCAGAGCAAAAAACCAAAATGCAGTACCGGACATAACAGGTGGTGTTACTCACAAACACGGCTAACAATATCTATTCCTAACTTAACTATGTGGCAGACATCGCCCTAGACCTTCCCCCCGGACTTAATCTTTGCATCTAAGAGGCAAGTACGATTGCATCGTACGGATAACGAAAGCTTAAAACCGTGAGTCAAAGCGCAAGCCGATGCCGAGGCTGCGCTTCTAACCACTAAAGCATGCACATCTGTGGCCAGGGAGGGTGGGGGCGCTGGCCCAGCTTTTATATGTGAAAACTAAAAATTACACTTCCTGCAGAGGCGAAGCCAAGAGGAATCCCGGAGTGAAACCACCAAGTCCGGAGATAAGCGCCGAGCCCCGGCCGCCGGCCTCCAGCCTGCCGCGGACTCCTTCCCACCGCCTTCCCTGCGTCCCCACAGACGCTGCTCCGGAAAAGCGACCCAACCACTCGGCCAGGGCGGAAGGCGCCGGCGCCGGCAATCTCGGGCTTCGGGCGCGGTGACTGGAGCGCAGGTAGGGACGCTGGGCGCTCCTGGACCCGCAGTCCCAGGGTGAGGGTGCTGACCGCAGGCACGGGAGCCCAAGGCTGAGGACGCTCGCCCACCCCCACCACAGGGTCCTCACCGCTCTCAAAAAGTTCTGTGAGATGCTCCTCTTCAGGCGCCGACTCCTCTCAAGAACGCCGCCATTCCTTGCCCGCGGCGGCCACCTCCAATTCAAAAAGTGAGCCGCTGTCTGTAAGAGCCATGCCGATTGGCGCGTGATGTTAGCCTCCTGCTCATAGGCTGAAGTTTCCGGAGAGCAACGCCCGCTTTCCAGTAGGCGCCGATTGATTGGTTGTACGGGTGTTTCAAACAAGCCCAACGGCCGGGAAGGGAGACCTATAGAGAAGTGCCCGGATGTGGCCAGGAGGTGGCGGTGGTGGCTTTTTAGCTCCTCTGGGAGTAGCAGGTGTTTCCCAGATTACTGCTTGTTTACCTAGTAAGCATCCCATTTCCTGAAGAAGGTTTATATGGATTCTCCCCACCATCACCTCCAACTTTTTTTTTTTCCTAGAAAGCGCTACTAGGTTTTTAAAATTCTTATTATTTGTTGGATTTTTGTAAAAACATAAGCTTGGCACTTGAACAAGTTAAAAATATGCCAGGAGACTCTCCTGGCTCCGAATTGCTTCCTTGCTGCTCCCCTCCACCCTCGCCCCAGCATTCTAAATAGAATACTATATTACACTCTTAAGAAAAATACACTTCTACCAGGTGATTCCCACCTGCTTTTTGATTTAAATAAAGGAGGAAGGGGGAATCCATTGCTAAAACTCTAAATCTCAACGAGAGGAAAACTTGTACTTTGGAACGGGTCTCAAAAATGTCGTGGGGATTTCCATTTTTTTCTAATTTTGTGAGGTAATTTTAGAGTGCCTAAAAAAAAAAAAAAAACCTGTAATATAACCTGTTAAATGAGTAAAGCATTCTATAAGTATTGGTTTCCCTGCTTAGCATATTTATATTTGCTCTTCATTCAAATGCTGTTACAACCGTTAGAGTAAAAGAAAAGAAAAACAGCCATTAAAATTTTCCTTTGGAATGTGCTTGCATAAACTTGGGTGTGCCCAGCATTCCAAAAATTCTTATCACTGAAAATATATTAAGCTACTGCGGAAAGCAGCGCTATTTCCTTTGTGTTCGTCAGTAAAATAATTTGGGATGAAAGCAGGCATTGAGAAGGGATAACAGAGAACTAAAGTCTTTTGAATTTAGGGAATTTTCTATTTCTTTAATGGTACTTCTATTTTTTCCAGTCATTCAGAAGGACTAAATAATTTTACATTATTGCATTTTGCATATTTTTTGTTTCCCCATCTTCTGTATTTAATCAGTTACAAACTCCTACTATATCCTTTACCTCTCCAACTCGTCTTTTCTATCTTATTTCAAACAATAGTTTCGTGTCATGTCTGTTCCAGTTCAGTGCCATTCTCACTGGTCTTTCTTCTCCCATTGTTTCATTTTGAGTGAAAATTTGTTGTCAGATTGCTTTTAAAACACTCAAGACATAACTTCTTACTTCAAGGTTTTAATTTTTGAGCTTTCAGTGTAAAGTTTAAATCCTTCCTGATGCAACTGGAGCTCTCCTAAGCTCCTGCTGACTTGCCTTTGTTTAACTGAGTCTTCTGTTCTTCCTTCATCTGTATTACTGTCCAGCCACACCAAATCATTTTTTACTGCTTCCTCTATATATCATGAGCTTTTGTGAGTGCCTAACTGCCAATAAACAAACTAATATCGGAGATTTGCTTTTGAGAATTCAAGATTAATATGCCATTCTGTTCAATTTTCTGTGCCCTATAAAAATATTATTCCAAAAATTGCCATTGTGCTGATGCTGAAGCACAATAGCACCTACAAGAGCTACTGAATCAGTAAGCCTAAGTTATTTTCATTACTGTTTTTCATTTATTTAAATTCTGTGAAAACCCATGTATAGAATTAATTTTCATTCCTATATAGCTCTTCCACTAGAAATAAGTGTCATAAGGACCTGTATTAGCATAGTACCGTACTGGGTGCTTAATAGATATCAAATTAATGATTTAAGAATAAATTACTCACAACATCCAATCTCCCAATCATTAGGGATATACTTGAATTTAGCTCATTCATTCTAGCAATATTTACTTGGTACCTACATGAGAAGACCACTGTGTTTATTGAAGAGCAAGGTGACACGTTTGTTTTCATAGTGCTAGCTTTTTGAAACTGCAGACTGAAAGATTAGGGATTATGATTTACTGCTAGCTGCAGTTTAGTGGCAAGTAATCATCTTATACACACAACTATCTGAATAATTCCTTCTACATTGCTTTCATTGAATCTGCAGACAGATCTGTATATGTATGCTTCATTCACGCACTTTATTATTTTGGAGTTCTAATGCAGGATATAACATTTATTAGATGACCTTGCATAATTTGCTCAAATCTTTCCTGCAGTTTTATTTGTAATATGGGGCTAATGATGCTTACTTACGAGCTGCTTTACGGAGTAAATAAAGGGCTTAGTAAACTGTAAGTATATGTTCATTTGCTTTCTTCATTCTCTTCCATTTTAATTATTTGTTTACTTGCTAAGCTCCCTCAGCAGATTGTGAGGTCATTTCTGTACCATCAGGAAGCACAATGGCTAATAAACGTTTGTGAAGTAAATGAAAACTTGAGAGTGAACAACATTGTATTGCCTGTTTATTCATTGCTAGTCAAACTGCCACATATCTCTTCAAAGGAGTCAAGTATGGCTTTTGTTAGGCTAGCAAAAAAGTCCCACAGAGATGCCATCCATAGCTAATTATTAGATTTGGGTAGAAAGCCTGTTCAACAAATCTATTTGTTAAGAGATTAACAAATCCTTGAATTCTTTTAATACCAAACTCTCAATTCAACAACCTCTTTTATGGTCATATCTTAAGTGCTATGCAGTCAAAATTCCTTAAACTCTGAAATGTTAGCTTCAAATATTCCATTACAATAATGAAAATTATTTTCCTACCTCTTAATCCCTTTTCCACAATCAAGATGTTTAGCCCTCTCTCTTTCTGAACCATAGTCATTTATTTCAGCTACTCAAAAGATCACCACTCTTAATGACTTACTTTTCTTCCTGCCTCTCTGACATTTTCTTCTCGGTTTCTTTTTTTTTTCTTGTGTTTTTTTTTTTTTTTTTTTTTTTTTTTTTTTTTTTTTTTTTTAATTCCTTAAGGTCTCTA